GGGCTGCTCCGGGCTGCACCAGAGCTGTACGGGCTGCACCAGAGCTGCTCCAGAGCTGCACCAGGGCTGCTCCGGGCTGTACCAGAGAGAGCTGCTCCGGGCTGTACTTGTGCTGCTCCAGAGCTGCACCAGAGCTGTACGGGGCTGCACTAGCTCCGGGCTGCACGTGTGCTGCTCCGGGCTGTACCAGGGCTGTACGAGGCTTTAAGGGCTGTACTGGAGCTGTGTTGGGCTGTGCCAGGGTGTACCGCGCTCTTCCCACCTGTACCGGATGGCATGTTCCCACATGGCTGGCATCACTCGAGACACCTCCATGGCTTCACTGGATCCTGTCCCAGAGCTCTGTGGTGGGTGGTGGTGACACCATGGAGCAGCAGGAGCCAAAGCAGGGCAGGGGTGAGCTGGGTAGGCTGGTAACCCTGTGGGCTGCCCAAGGCTGTAGCAAGAGCCCATCCCAAGAGGACAGGAGATGGGGCTGATGATGGCATGACAGGACAGTGCCCACGTAATGATACAGCTCTCCAGCATACACAGTCCATACTGCAAGGCTGAGGGGCTATGCAGCAAGCTGGGCACCCACGCAGCAGAGGACAATGCCCATGGGACCACTGGCTCCATCCTGTGAGCTTGTCTCAGGAGGCCTGTGAGGGAGACACATCCAGGGGCCATCAAGGAGCAGAACTGGGGACAGGCAAGCACTGGGGAGCTGAAGGAGTCCTGTCATGGCTTCTCTGAGTTGCCTTCACATTGCTGGGGCTGATGGCAGCTGGACATGCTGCCCTACACTGCCCAGGGACACAGCCAGGCCCTGGCTTGGCAGGAAAAATCACCTCCCAGCAGGCGTGGGACCTAGAAGGGACTCACCAGCTTGGTGTCGATGTCAGGGCAAACACCAATGGAGCTTGAGGGCAAACTAAGGCACACGGAGGTTTGCTCTGATGAGCCCAGGCTGTGTCCTGGGAGAGAGACAGCCAGGACACTCCCACTGGTGGCTGACAGCTTATGAGTCAGCTGTGCTCAGCACAGAGCCCAGCACCTGCCCTCTGCTCTGGTGTCTGGGTCCCTTCACACCATCTGCTTGTGCTCTTCCCGAGGCTCCCAAGGTGCCAGGGCTATAAGCCACGTGCGCATGGGGCTCTGCACCCTGCAGGAACTCCTCAGCACCTGCTGAGATGGGCAAGCCCCAGAGCATCTCTTGCTGGCACAGAATCATGGGGATGAGCAGGACATCACCAGTCTGTTCTTCTGTGAGGATGTGAGGAGCTGGTGTTCCTCTTCCTTTGTCCTGTGTTTGCAAGGACTCCTGTTCCAGGGTGCACTTCCCACCCTGAGCTGATGATTTTTCTGAGGCTGGACCCTTCCCCACTGAAGCTTCAGGCAGAGAGGGGCAGTGACTGCGACATGGTGTTTCTGTGCCGCTTTTCCTACTCCCACCCACATGCCAGCTGTGCCACAAGTCACATCTGTCCCCCAGTTCAGCTAGAATCAGCTCAAGAAAGACACACATACACCCCTCCTATGGGGCAAATCACCCCCTGTGCAGCCTCAGACTCCAGGAGAGGGTGCAGAGGCCCCACCACCGCAGTATGTCCCCACCATAGTGTCAGCCTTTGTGTTTGGAGTCCCTCCCTGGTCAGCACCCTCCTGCCTTGGCATGTGGCACATGAAGTTTGACATCCCCTGGCAGAGCAGCTATGTCAACCCCCCGGTGCCCCTTCCTCAGCTGTGTTTGTGAGGAGAGGGGTGAGCCGGGGAGGCATGGTGGGGATGTGAGGGGTGGGCGGTGTGGGAGGGGGTGTAGGTCCTGCCGCAGCACAAGAGGAAGGGATGCAGCAGCTGCCCCTGCACCATCCATCCCTGCTGCCTGCATCCCGAATGGAAGCAGCGCTGCCATCACCCGGCAGCAAACAGGCTCTGGCTCTCGGGTGCAGCTGGAGCTTAGCAACAGACGGTTCTCTTGATTGAGTTAACAAATAAAAGACGTGGTGAGGATCAGGCCAGCTCATTGATCCGCTCCTCCCCCAGGACCCATCTGCTCGCTGCATTTTAATATGTATTAGGCGACGAAGAGCCTCCCGGGTTCCCAGTCCGGCTGGCCTGGGGGCCCTCGGGACGAGATCTCAGGACAGAGCTGCACTGGGGAGATGGGGCTGCCCCAGTGCTCGACACCCAGACCCCATGGGGGGCACTGGGGTCTATAATGCAACCCCCTGGGCAGCACTAGAGAGGAATAACCTCAGCTGCTGCTCGGCACCAATGCAGGCAGCACTGGGAGTGCTGCCAGGGACGCGCAGAAAGTGCTGTGCCCCCAGACTCTCCTGGCCCATGCCCTGCCGAGCTGTGGGGATGTCATGGGCTGTATGAGACCCTCCCACAGACTGGGCTGAGTGATGGGTGCCCAACTCCAACAACAGTGCATGGATAGCAGAAGGGACAAGAAATGGCATCCAGTGTCCAACTCTCCTCTTGGCCAGTCCCAGGGCTGGTGGCCCTGCCTGGACATGCTCTCACACCTCTGCCCCATCCCCAGTTTCATACCCAGCTGGAAGAGGGAGCCAAGAAGCCCCCAGGCCTCATTCTGCTGCCCAGCCCCTGGCAGATGTCCTTCTCCCAGGCCAGGCTCGGCTGCAGGCAGGCTGCAGGCTCCAGCAGAGATG